TCGTGAAATAAAGTTTATCCGGGGCTTGGACGGCTTGACTGTTTGCCAACTTGACTCAGGACAACTCGCCTGTTGAGACAACATGACTAGTGGGACAACTTAACCATCTCTGCGTCAAAGGGACAGACAAGTCGACCATTGAGACAAGTCGTCCGTTGAGACAACTGGACCGGTGGGAAAACGAGACCCTCAGTGCCTCAAATGGACAGACAACTCAACCGTTGGGACAAGTCATCGGTTGAGAAAAGTTGTACTTGCATTTCAGTCACAAAAGAGGGAGGACTGGGGGACAGATTTACTGTCTCCCATACCGGCAGACTAGCAACTGATCATCAGTGCAGCGGAGGCAACTGTGCCACACCACGGTGCATACTACATTGCTGCCACGGCCTCATACCACACTGACCCCATCGATGCGCCACCCACCGGTCCTCTGCACGTTGCTTCACCGTACCAGGTCTACGTGCACGACTTGGTAAACGGTCGAGTTGTCCCATCGGTCGAGTTGTCTCAACGGTTGCGTTGCTTGAATGAAAAAAAAGAAACTCTAAAATTCTCTGCTCTGTACACATTTTGTAAATTAATGTCACCCAGTGCAAACTGTGTTCGTCATCTTTGTGAGAAATGAACAGGATTAAGGTACTCAAGAAAATGGCACGAAATAAAATATAAACCATTCAAGACTAGTTCTGCTTCAGATTTCCTGCCACTTTTAACAGGATTGTTTGGTATTAAAGTCAAAAGAATTTTTCTCTCGGAGGGGGTACTTTTATACTCCCCGTGAAAGAATTCATAAGCATTTTCTTTGAAACGAAATGTGGTAAAGGCTGATGACGCCAACTAAAATGAAGGAAAACTTTCATTTTACACATCACTTGAGAAAAGAGCCCAAGAGCTCAAAATCGGGTCGCACTGTGTCTGGACTGCCCATTGTAGACCAGCCACTGTATGCGTTGATCAGTGACAATCACAAGGGAATTTGGTTTCGCTGTATCACCAAGGATAGGGCCTACAAGCATTAAGATCTTGGGAACAAATACATAGAACACTGCGATAGAAAACAACATAACAAGCTTGACATTTCACCCTCAAACGAAACTGGTAGGATTACATACGTATGTTGCTTGATAAGATGGCTCTACTTACTGTTCAGGTTACCAGCTTAAACGTCATTTGATTACACAGCTTGTAGCTGGCTCTCTGTCGACCCTCTTAATACGGACATTTATTCTCCAATCTACTGACTAGTCTCTGCCTCAGACGCTGCATGGAATTCGATGCGGATCAAGATCATAATCAATGCACTCAAACCTTCATCACAAGACGGTCAACTTGGTGGCCCGATCAGGAGCTTTAGTCTCCACCTTCATGAGGAGGAAGTCGCGCCAGTTGGAGATGAACCCCGCATCTCGTTCCGCCAGCGCCTCTGCCCATCTGTGGGAGCGCGACGCCAGCTTGCGTTCCCGGTATGTCCAGTTGTGTGTGATCAGATGGAACTGCTGAAGGAGCAGCACGAGAACGCAGCTCACAGCAAACAGCGTGTAGATGACGGAGACAAACACAAGAGCAGTCCTATGTCGAAATGCAATGAGGACGAAAAAAATAGGATCATTGATAAATTTGAGCAACCTCGATTGCCAAGCAGAGAAACCATGCGTAGACAAGTTGGGTTGGTGGATCGGTATTTGGTTCAAATCTCACCTAAGCCAATATGTGGATTGGGAGTTTTAGTCTCCTCCTGATTCATGGGTTTTACGTTGGAACAGGTACCTGGGATTGTCCTCCCACTTACATGACTTATCTGTACCAGTGCATTTGATGTGTCCTCACAGCCATAAAGCCTGTTGCATAGTCCCATTTCACCTAGGCCAACATAAAAATTTTGGCTGACTCAAGTCCTCTGATGGAATCTGATGGGAGTGCCAAAATCTTATGTGCCTGGAGAACGTTTCTGAACTTTAAAGGTGTAAAAATTGTTTTGAAATAATTTTTTTTTCTTTGGGGTTATTCTATCAATTCAGGGTCCACAAATGTGACATTCTGTGTCTCTCTTACACCTGACTTGTGTGATTTTAAATGGAATTATGTATCATTACGTATCAATGAATCACTGAAATTGACTTCAAACCATTTTATTAGTATGGCTGGTAACTTGCGTTGCTTGATCGCACTTGGAAATTAAAGACTGCATTCTGAACTTATAAAACCATATGTTTCAATGTGACAGACAAAAATTGGACCCAAAAGTTATACAGTGACCCTTTAGTGAAACGGTTGGTCTTTGGTTAGAAATCCCTCATTGCTCTGCAAAGCATGCTTCGTCAAGGTGTTAAAAATAGGCATCAGAGGCAGCCATTCACAGCCAATTACAACTCTAAGGATGGCTTGTCACAGACATTCCTGGGCCCTGTACCTTCTGTCAGAGTACACAGCAGAGCAATCGGGCATTTGATGCAGCTGAAGGGAGCAGAGATGGTCCAGGGACAGGTAACCTCCCCACAGACCTCCCATCACAAAGAGGAGAGCCGCCAGCAAGAAGGAACGATGGTTGCCAGCACCAACACAGCTGTCAATCCTGCCCGACAAACACAGGAATAAATTAATTTCAGTGAAAACATGAGGGTGGGGTAACTGGTTTAGAAACATTTCAATCCAAGATGCCAAAAGATGTATACAGCACAGTCGAACCTCATTCATTGAACTTGGCAGATTACCTTGATATTACAGGAACCTTGCATTACCGGAAATGAAAACGATGAAGAAGAAAGGATCGAGACCCAGAACTGTCCTTATTCACACAATGACGTTGGAAGCGTTTCATGATGAAGGTGGCAAGTTAAGTGAAAGGTTTGCAGTAGCACTATGCAAAAATATCTTTGTGAGCACATGGAGTTCTGAAAAGAACCGCAGGATGTGTGGTTCTGATAAGAACCAGAGGGTAATCAATGTTGTGGACATACATATCAGAGATACATGTATACACCACTGCAGACCTTTCACTCAACTCATTAGCACAATGTTATACATGTACTAACAGTACTCTTATTAAAAAGGTTTGACTGTGGCCTATGCACAAATTGGACCATTCCTGCAATGTGGAAATGTTCCGATGGAATTGGCGTGCTCCCCTGGGAATGATCCAACAGAAAATGAACATTCTCAACTTTTGAGATGGTCCCTAAAGTAGGCCTTTATGGGCATAAGACTATGCATTTCTCTCACCAGACACAATGGTGATCCAACCTATGCACGCAGTGGCTACATATCCGGCAGTGGCCCGCTCGCTCCGGTCTCATCAGCCCACAGACGTCACACCAGTCATCCAATCCCTGATTGGCTGCTTCACTGCACACCTGCAGTTCTCCACCAATGGCATTGCTCATCTCAATGACTGTCGTCTCCTGCCGCAGGCACCCATTTTCTACACTGTTCAGATCCCCCTCATTAGAGGCGTGCCTCTTTCTCTGCACCCTGGCAGCGACGTCAGAAACAGCTGTCGATTCTGGCAGGACTTTGAACATGTTTTTCGTTGCTGACGACGCACCCGTTTGTTTCTTCACAACGCCGGGGCCATGCTTGGAGGCAAAAAATGCCATTAGCGTGAATACAAACAACACAGTCACAGCTGAGAACTGAATGACTTCAATGCTGGAACCGACACAGAAGTAAAAAGTCCCGTAGATGAGGAAAACGGACACGAGACCCCAACTCATGAAGAACTGAGTTCTTCGTCGGTGCCGCAAGACCAGACGATAGTACATCATAACAGCTATTGGCACGACTAAAAAGGACATCATTGTAGCAATAAGATGCCAAGAAGAGACGTACATCCACAAAGGAACAATAACAAAAGGTGGTAGAGCAGTGGTATCCATCAGCTGATCAAGTCTCCTGGCTCCAGCCCCAAAGCATGTTGGGATACGCACTCGATCGCAGCCAACCTGGAAGATCTTTATGAGGTTGCTTTTCTCGATTGCTTTCCCTTTGAAGAGCCTGCAGCAAACCAAATATACATGTACATAAATCAATGTGAATTCTACACAATGTACAAAGCCTTAAACATCAAGAATAACTTCAAGGCAAATAACGTCAAAGAATTTGTCGTATTTTTTACATCATCTGGTCAGACATTGATTTCTTTTTTTCAAAAGTTGGCACTGAACCGATACCACATAAAAAAGAAACGAAACCGTTTGGAATGTACATGGCGCGTTATTACTGAAGAAGAAGTGCCCAGAAATGTCTTTGCCCATCATGTTAATTCGCTTGAAAAACCAGGCCTAGGATGATTTACCAGAGCCAGATATTGGGGGGGGGGAGCAGATGTCAGACCCCACAGTTCTGGGGGTAGGGGTCAGTTCAGGTCACCTATCAATTTTTGTCCAGTAGATTTAAGGTGGGATGTGATTTTATATTAATTAGGCCCCTATACTGTTTAATCTATGATTGAAGTCAATTTCAACCCGACCCAATGGCAATGCAGAGCATAAACAATTACTTCACCACAGACAAATTTACTGTAGTATAATATTAGGCCTAATGATGTTACTTAAACCACAGGCAGACAAACAGCACAGACACAGTACTACTAGCCTAGGGACGCATGGCTACCTTTTTTATCGATCATACGGGACTGTACTTTGACATGTTTGAAGTTTTTACCTATCACAGATTTGATCAAGTTCTTGACAGTCACAGCAAAGTGCCAACAGATGGCCTTTCTCTCCTTTGTCGTTCAGATATTCACAACAACATAATGGTCCTGAATCATCATCCTCCTCTGGCAGAGCCATGACTTTGGACCTGATTTCCTCAACTCCGAATCATGGTTAAGGTAGTTGTGTACGTGCGCGATGCGCGAACGGTCAAGCAACAGCGTGCATAGCGCCCTCTGTACAGGAATCCTATCGACATGTGTTCTAGGGGTACCGGTACAGACCACTAAGGGTCCAGTCCACTAATTCAAGCCCC